ATCAAATCTAGTATCGATATAAATTATGATCGTTAAAAGGAAATTTTCGTAGTCTTTTATTAATTTTTTTTACTAGACTAATAAATAATTAGGCGTTTTTTTGACGAAGTACGAAAAACAATTATTATTAACCTAACGAACCATTTATTAGCTCTAATAAGAAATTAGATTTGAGAACTTACGTACTGTACTTACAGCATTATCATTATAAACAAGTAGATGGATAATAATAGAGCATTGCTATTTGTACCTCCCACTTTTACTATTCATACCTCTCTCCTATAAAGTACAACGATAACGATGACATTTAACACAATGTTCAATTAAAATTTGTCTTTGCTCAAGTTTACATATCAATATTATTGGGTGCTACACGACTTTCATACGACAAGTGGCTAAATTAATTTTTTTTTTTACATGAGAGGGGGGTATGAATAGCAAAAATGGGGGGTATAAATAGTAATTTCCTAATAATAACTTAGACGCAAATTTATGAACTTATAAAAACTTCGTAATGGTTTTCTTAATTTTAAGAAAAATTACATTATTTTACATTTAAAATATTCAATTATATTTTTAGGAAAAATCTAAATGAAGCACCGGTGCATTTGGTGCACCCGATTATGCATGTACATATTTTTGATTATTTGGAAATCCGATCAATATTGCTGTGAGTTCGGTGATTAAATTATGAAATGAAATGTATTGTATCGCTTGTACTATCCTAATAAGAATAAAGTGTCAATTGAGTCCCTATAGGTTTTATATCTCTTGTATTAAAAGTGGTCAGGTTCATTAGATCTCTGTAAATTTAAATCTGATTGTTTTGTGCTTTATTGTGTGGTCGAATGAGTCATGTGTAATTGAGTGAAAGTTAAAGTGTTAATTAAAGATCCGAAGCTATAATATTAGACTATAAATTAGACTATAGTTGATTAATAAGCAGATCTGGCCATATAAAATGAACCTTCGCTAAGTTCTTTACCCTTTTTTGATTTTTGCTCCAAAAATCGTCTATAACATTATATACTGAATATCAGACATTATTTACTGAACGTCTATATTAAACATCTATAACATTATGTATTGAAACTATTGTATATTGTGAACATGTATGATAATATAGATTTTAATATAAATATTTCAAGTATTGAAGAATTAATGGATGGTAGTGTGGGGATGAAAATGTTGAAAATTGTTTGAAGTCCAATGAAAATGAATATGATGACAATTGGTTAGAATCTGATGAAGACAAAAGTGATTTGCATATTGGTAAACAATTTGTATCTTGGCAAGATGTATTTATTTTTCTTGATAATTATTGTAAGTAGGAAGGCTTTGGATATAGAAAAGGTCGTTCAAAAAAAAAAAAAGGTAACAACAGGGATGTTATCAAAAGAACATTTTTATGTAAGCATACTAGTGCTTATTTGCCAAATAAAGCAGCTAGTATTAATGATCAATGAAACAAACTATCATATAGAGTTAATTACCTATGGCATATCAATATCAGTAAAAAGAGCAAAGATATCTATATGGTAACAACATTTGTTAATGAGCACAAAGGTCATATATTTAATTCACAAATAGTTTATCTTTTACCTTAATTTCAAAAGTTAACTAAAGAAATGCTAGATGGTATTCAGTTTTGGACATTTGCAAGTTATCTCAATGCCAGCAAGCAGTATCATATGCTTATAAGCAAGTATTAGCAATGTATTATAAAATGAGACTTATATAATGCAATTTATAAGGTTTGACAAGAAAATATATCTGTAAAGAAAGATACATTCAATCTTAATAATTTATTGAAAAAAAAGAATGATGATCCATGGTGAATTGTGGAATATCAAATTGATTCAGTATCTTAGGCTCTCACATATTTATTATAGATAGAGTCTTAACAAATAGAATTGTATATTCATTATAGTTCTGTAGTTGTTCATAATAATACAGCAAAAACTAATATATATAGTCTTCTATTTTCGATATTTGTAATTATAGATAATAATTTTAGTACTCAACTAGTTGTACAAGTATTTCTTGATGATGAAACTTTGAAATCATATGTATAGAGCTTAACAGTTTTAAAGCAAAAACTTAAACTTTGTCTTTTCATAATTATTACTGATGCTGATCTAGCAATAGATGTAACAATTGCTCAAATCTATCTATAAACAAAACATTTACATTGTATCTAATATATTAGCCAAATTTGAAAAGTAAATTACATAAAGATTATTAAGATTTCATAAAAAAATTCTTTTAATGCTATAATAAACTTAATATTAAAGCATTTAAATATGAATATATTATATTAATTAATGATTATCCTGCAGCTAAGAATTATCTTAAGCATTTATATACAAGTAAAAAGTCATAGGCTAGATGTTATACAAGCTTATATTTTACAGTTGGAATGCAATCAACAAGTCATGTTGAAGGTATTAATAGCATGCTTAAAAAAAATTTAAATAGTCAATTCATATCATTATATAATCTTTGTACAACAATTTCTCAACTGCTTAAAGAAGACAGAATAATAATGAGTTTGTCACATGGAAAGCATCAATGCTAATAATCTCACCACTAAATATATACAACACAATGCTTCAGGATATTGATAGAGAACTCTGTATATGTATAATATTCACAATAACTGAAAAGATTTGTGAACAAATAAATCATAGTTTTCTTTATCATGCAACACAGGTTGAATTCGATAAAGTAGCTCAAAATAATTCAAATGTAGATATTTCATATGAAATAAGTTGTATTGATGAGGTTTTTGATTTACCACAAGTCTGTATAAATACTATTTTTAATAAATTTCATGATTAGATTAATTCAGTATAAGAAATTAGACATATGAAATATCCTGCATTATTACAATTTGTTTTTTTTTTGATGAATAGCAATTATAGATGTATATGTAAACTGAATATTATTTCAAGTTGGATTTGTAGATATTTTTTCTGTGTTATGTGTATGACAACAATAGCAAAATTTCATATTAATATAATTAACTGACATTAGTTTAATAATAAAATGTATGATAAAGACTTGAGTAAATGAAGTTTTATTAGACTGTTAATTACTGATGCAAATAGTTTTGCAGTTAGTTTTTCTACAGAGTGGGTTCCTATTGCAACTAATGAAATTACTAGGCTTTCTAAACAAGATCAAGAATTTGCACAACAATATTTGAAAGCAAAACAACAATATGCAAAAGTGTTTAGTCTCACAAAATCACTAATAAATAAAGCAGTTGAATTAACTTAGATGAAAAACTGCTTATAACACTTGAAAATTTTAAAGAAAAAGAAATTAGTTCTATTTTTACTAATGATAATATGAATATTACTTCATTAGATGAAAGAGAAAGTAAAAAAGAGAATGAAACTAAGGAAGTGCAAAAAAGAAGAAGTTCAGAAGTTAATGTTGAAAATCCTATTGTAAAACATTGAAAGGGTCATCCATAAAAAGAACACTGAGTTTTTAGTAGTATCAAAACTAGTTAACAACTAACAGTGAGTTCAAAATCTAGAAATATTACTTGTGCATATTGTCATGAAACTGGTCATAACATTAGAAACTATAAAAAAAGAGTTAATAATGCTGATATTAAGAAATAGTTTACAGAAGCAAGTAAGATGTAAAGAATATGATTTCAATTTTATGTAATGCTTTTTCATGTAAGCTTTGTAAATTTGTTGTAACTGCATATTTATATATTAATGCATTGTGCTTATTATAATATAATATGTAAAGTTACTTTCATTATAGCGATTCTATTAATTTTTTTTTTTTTTTTAATTAGCCTTGACTACGTCAAGAGCTTACTATAATGAGAGTAACATGTATAATACTGTACAATTCGCGAAAATTACTAAACTTTTAGTTTACAATTAAGGTAGAAAAAGACTCAATAAAATCATTCTGATTCGTTAATTGTTCAGGATGATCAAATAAATACATTGTGCAAATCGTGATTATACGATAATAAATTGTATTACAATATATATAAGTCTATATTTTATTGAGGTGCACAAAGTGCAGGGTGCACCAAATAGTAAGTTCCATATTTTTAATAGTAAATTTTCGTTTATACTAAAAAGAAAACAAAAGCATTAGTGTAATTAATTCAATTTTTTGATTCGATTTTTCACTTTTAGTTTTTAACCTATTTTCCTAAAGGAAATTTTTTCTACCTTTTTTTTTTTTTTTAAAAAAAAAAACAATAACGATAATAAGCAAAGCGCTCCTATCGACTATAGACTATATCTGATATGTATATAGATTTGATCCAACAAAAAAATCTGCCATACCGCTAAGTATATTTTAAATATGAAAAATCCCAAACATGTATGTAAAGGACTTTAGGAATAGATAATCGAAAATTAAAATCGATTAATATTCTACATACCCCTTTAGATTATTATAGCCTGTACCACGTTAACTATTGGAGCTAAACTGAGCAACGTTATCCGCTCTCCCAATTTACAATACGTAGTAACAACGTACAACAATCCACAAATTGAATATTTGTTAAAAAATTTTCATGTTGCATTATTAATGTCTATCACACTAATTCTAGAGAAAAAAAATTTATAAAATCTAGCTTTTTTAACATGTCTTATTCAAATTGGATTAAATTTGCTATTGAACAGAAATATATTACATCATTTGATTTTAGTTCTTTCAATATATTGGAAATTGTTGGTAGTGGAGGATTTGGCATTGTTTTTCGTGCTAGGCATAAACATGAATCCGTAGCTCTAAAGTGTTTACATAACGGTTTCGCCAATGATAGTCATAATTATGATGATGAATTTATTAGAGAAGTATAGCTATTTTATAATATATATGTCATATCTACGTATTGGCTATATACTTAATATTATAAACCTGACAGTCATATTTAATATTATAAGGTTAAAAATATCATCAAGGTTAATCATCATGAAAATATAACAAGATTTCTTGGAATCACTCAAGGTACGTATGCTATTTTATTTATAGAAAAATAAATTATATTAAGCATTTAATATTAATATAATCCAGATTATGCAAACCAAAGATGCTATATGGTTCTTCAATTTGCAAGCAAGGGAAACCTTCGGAACTATTTGCGTGACCATTTTTCAGAATTGAATTGGCTAGCCAAAATTAGAATGGCAAAGGAAATTACTAGTGGACTTGATTGTTTACATAGTGTAAACCTTATTCACAGAGACCTTGTATATATTTTTTAGTTTATATTGTGTTCATTTAATGTAAACATACTGACACTATGTACTGATATTTAATAGCATGATAAGAATATATTAGTCCACAATGATGGTAGATTGATGATTACAGATTTTGGTTTATCCAAGTCATTAGAATCTATTGGAAGGTCTGTCGCTGGTGGACTATGTTCTTTTTCTGATCCGCAATATCTCAAAGATATGCATACATATAAAAGAAACAAGCCGTCTGATATATATAGTCTCGGTGTGCTTTTCTGGGAATTGTCAAGTGGTGTTTATCCTTTTAAAGATATGGAAGATGAAGAAATATTTATCCATGTAATCTATGGTAATCGAGAAACTCCAATTGATGGGACACCAGTTAATTTTAAAAATCTATACTGCGATGCTTGGAATGATGAACCAACTTTACGTCCTAGCATAAATAGTATTGTTGATAGATTGGAAAGTATGCAAATGGCTCCAGTTTATCATAACGAGGATAATCCAGGGCAATTAATGATAGACTTACCCGTTAAAACCAATGCTATAATCACAGCTTCATACGTTCTTCCCCTAGTCAGTACGATAAAAAATTTAGTTAAAGATATTTATAACTTTTATGAAAATGCGGAATGCAATAAAGATATATGTTTAATAATGACAGATCGAGCAGAAATAGCTGAATTTGCCATGGATAAAATGTTGAGAAGAGAAGAGAGTCCATTCTATGAAAAAGAATATCATTTATTATTCGTAAAATACGTAAATGTTCTGACAGAAATGAAGAATTTTACTGAGAAAGCGTCAAAGCTTGAAGGGCTTAGAAAATTTTTTGATGTTAATGAAATTGAAAACAAATATAAGAAATTAACTCAAGACTACGATACTTGCATGAACGAACTACACTTTATTATTGCAATTGCTAATAAATTTGAAAGAAAACTAGAGGATCAAAAAATTGATAAAGCACTAAAGGTATATGTAATACTGTGAAACATAGTAAGCTCTTATTATGTGAACTCAGTTTCTATAGTTATGTAATAGTTCACTATTTTCATAACGAAAATCCAATAGTCTGCGAAAAAGTTCATTATATGGGCTAGGTGCTGGAAAAAGGAACGAAAATGACAATTTTTTTAAAAGCAATTTTTTTACATAAATCAATTTAAATTTTATTAGGATCATCTTTCTATTAAGATACAAAAGTAGTTATATTAAATTTTTCTTATGATTTATTATAAGATTTATAACATAAAAATTGATTTTCTGAAGATTTTTTTTTTTTTTTTTTGTCAATTGTGTCCCTTTTCCCAGCACCTAGCCTATATTATATACAGTAATGTAGTTTATAACCAGAAGGACTGTTTTATCTTTATTTTATTTTATTTTTTTGTTTTTAATCCCTCAAGTGAAAGCGGAACGTCATACGGCGTGATTTTCATATTTTATATTTCATACTTCAATTTCAGGCTCTCAAGAAACTTAATTATGGTATTGAAAATAGCGAACTTGAAGCGATATCTCGAGACATAATTTTATTCAGATCTGAAGTAGGTAAAAAACAAAGCGAAGTACATATACAAAGAATCAAGGCAGATGAATTGATAGAACCTCCGTCTTCTCTGTCTTCAATACGAGGTTCTATTATTAAGAAACTTTATAAAAGTGTAGAAGTAGTTGAAGTTGCATGTATACCTGTCACCAGAGGTTTTAGTCTTGAAGCTGAACTGTCAATACTTAAAAAATTGAGCCAATCACCACATATTCTCCGTTTCTATGGCCTTTCTCATGTTAATAATCGTGATGTTATGGTCTTTGAGTGGGCTGAACATGGAAATCTAAGAGAGTTTTATTCCCATAACGATATTCCTTGGACTAGGAAAATACAAATTATACGTGACATTTGTCGTGGTATTTTATTTTTACGTAGTGTAAATATTTTCCATCATGATATTAGATGTGAAAACGTTTTTGTAAGTATTGTTAGGAAATTTGATATTTAAATATGTAGAATTAATAAATTTTGTATTATATGATAGATATTAAATAATCTGGATCCAAAACTTGGAAACTTTAAATATTCTCGTGAGAAAGATTCGACTACTAGAAATCTTTCGGGTTTTCTTGTAGATATTAATCGTTGGATGGCTCCCGAACAAATTGACAAATATGAGAATACGAGATATGGTAAAAAGGTATACACGATTAGAAGCGAAATATACAGGTATTTACTGTATATTTAATTTTATAATGATCTTGAGCTAAATTTAAAATTAAACTTTTGCAATTAGCTTTGGAATGCTTATTTGGGAACTATGTTATGAAAAGATACCTTATAAAGATTTGACATTTAAAGAAATAATGAGCCATGTTTTAAGCGGAAAACGAGAAAAACTTTCACTTCGGGAATTTAAAGACCCTGCTGATAAGAAAATCCAAGAAGAATTTACTAAAATAATTGAACAAAGTAAATTTGGATAAGTTCTATTGGTGCATTTCTATATATTTTACATAAAATTTGAACTTATTTCTGTTTAACATTTAGCATGGCATCATGTGCCACATCAAAGAATAACTCTTACAAATTTGCATATAATACTCGAAGAATTGGCCGTAAACTACCCAATTATTTCTTGTGACTCGTTTTGTAAATTAGTAGATTTAGAACCTAGAACATTAGACTTAGTTGAAACGACTGAAAAAGAGGATCCGTCAATCAACTTCGTAATATCTCTTGAGAAAGGAATTGAATTTCATAAAATTAAAGATCATAAAAATGCATGGAAATGTTTTGAAGAAAATGCCAATCTTGGTAATCCAACAGCAAAATATTGGCAAGGATATTATTTATTTTATGGGTTTGGTGTTGTTGACATAGATAAGGAGCGGTCAAAAGAACTTTTTAAGGAAGCAGCTGATAATGATCATGCTGATGCACAGTTCCGATATGCGGTTTTATTGGTTTCTGATCTTATAAAAAATGATAATGAAGCTGCAAAAGAGGAAATCTGTAGAAAAATTCTGCATTATTTCGAATTGGCAGCTAACAATGAGCGTGTTGATGCCATGTATTATTTGGGAGATATTTATGTGCATGGAAAGCTTAAAGTGCAGAAAAACAGAGATCTTGGATTAAAGTATTTAAAATTCGCAGCTAATAATTATAATGAAAAAGCAATTAATTTATTAAAGCAATTAGACGAAAAAATTTAGAGTTCCTTTTTGTTATTATA